AACGGGTTCTCCCACCATCCGTTTAAGCAACGCTTGATAATGTCCACTGTGAAAGAGAAGAAGTCAAAATGTGTGTGGAAAACAATCTCCATTCTATGTAGCTTGATTTTTACTATATAAAATTGCAGGGCATCCATGGTCGGGGAGAGAGAGAGAGAGAGAGAGAGAATTCTTCAAACAAAGGGAAGCCTTTACTTAATTGATTAATTCCCCCTCCGCAGAGCTCGGCTTGTTTGATGCGGCGCTTTGTAAAAGCAGTTCAGAAAGTTCACACCAGTTAATCCACAAAGACAGACAGCGCTACAAAGCCCCACATTTGATGGGCAGGGGGCAGGCAGAGGCTGGCAGGCTTACAGCTTAAACCATTTCTCAAACTGGTTGCGAAAAGTCTTTGTTAACCTTCGCTTCTTTTTTTTCTTCTCCCTTTCTTTCTTTCTTTTTTTTTTTTTGACATCAGATAATTTAAAGGACGCATCTTTTTGTAAAAGAGGAAAAGAAGATTTGCAAGCCGAATCAAAGGAGTTTAAAAGAAATTACACGGGAGCGCACAGAGTATTTATTAATGCATGGACGCGGGAAGAGATACAGGTAATCCGAAGTCAGACATGCCCACACGGCAGGAAGCCCCACTGAAGTCACTGATAATGAATTCACATAAATATATTCCCTTTAAAAATTCATCGCACATCACTAATTTATGCAGCAGCGGACTCTGCCGGATTACTCTGGTTATTATTAGGTTAATGCAAAATATTAGAGGCATGTGCAGGATCCGAGATTCACCTTTGTGTTGTTGCTGTTTTAAAAATCCTGATCTGTTTCTGAGTTGCTCTGTGCTCCTCCCACTTCAGTCTATGTTTTGAGTTCCGAATCACTCCATAGAAAGTGAATACGTTTTCCCCATTCACTATAATGGAGAATCTAAAAGCAGCTACAGTCAAACCTGGCTGGTAGAACGTGTTATGTTCTCACCCTGGGCCAGCAGGGGGATACTGTAGATAGTTATGCAAATAAGGGATCGAAAGTGACGTCCAGTGATTGGATAGTTTTAGAAAATTGTTACAGTTACATTGTACTGGAGCTCTATATAAGCAGGCTGACTGAACCCTTCAGTTCAGTTCTGGCCTGGCCTGTGAATAAACAAGAGCTGTTTGAAGAATCGCTGTGTCGTCTGATATGTTCACCCACAACTTAACACAACGTAATCCATTCCAGAAACCCGTTCGCCTTCCGAAATGTTCAACAACTGAGGGGCGGCTTCCGATTGGTTGCAGGAGCTTCCTGCCCTCAAGCAGAAGCTGTGTCAGACTTTAGGCTTCCAAAAAACTTTCAAACACCAGAGCATTTACTTCTGGGTTTTCGGCGTTCGGAAGCCAAAACATTCCAAAACGGAGGTGTTCAGGAGCTGAGGTTTGACTGTACAGCCATACCTCGGGTTACAGACGCTTCGGGTTGCACGATTTTGGGTTGCGCACTGCGCCGAACCTGGAAGTACGGGAACGGGTTTCTTCCGGGTTTCGCTGCTTGCGCATGTGCAGAAGCACTAAATTGTGCTTTGTGCATGTGCAGAAGCACCGAATCACAACCTGCGCAGGCCCAGACGCGGCGCTGCAGGTTGCGGATGCTGCTGGTTGTGAACGTGCTTCCCGCACGGATCGCATTCGCAACCCAAGCGTCCACTGTATACCTGTTTTTCCCCTTGGGGACCATAGCAGAAGAATTTTACATGCAGCGAAGCCCCTCTAGAATGGGATTCATTGAAAAAAATCTGATAACCTTACAGTCTAAAGTCTAGTGGGAACCCCGTCCCGCCCCCGCTCCCCAAGTGTGAAAATTGCAGATATGCAGACCTTCAGAAAGCGAATGAAACTGTGAAAGTTTCCGACTCCTTTGCATCTTCTCCTTGTGACTTATTACAGCAGCTGCGGTCACCTGTTTCATTTGATCTCCTCCTAGCTGACTTAAGCATCCCAAATTAATTTTGATTACTTAAATGCCTTTTGCTAGACAGGGAAATTGGGGTGGGGGGAGGAAGGATGGGGCGGGGTGGGATGGAGCAGAGGTGGGTGGGGAGCTGAAGAGACACGGTGCCTGGGTTAATTGGATGCATCTCTCTCATCCCACCCACCCCCAATAAATAAATATATAAAAGACCTTTGCCTCTTTCTCCCGGGGCTGCCTTTAATTTTGCGGCTCTCTGCAGCTCCCAAAAATAACCTCCCGTCCCAATTTCGACCTGTCATATTCATTACATCACAGCTGCCTGCGGAGCGTGCTTATCACCGGCAATCTACTCGGTTTCACTCGTGATTAAAACTGATTGCCAGTTTGAGGCTGACTGCTCAGCTTTGGAAATTGGGAATGTCTTTATAACTCGGAGACAGCGGATCAAAGGGCCCTTGATTAATGCTGCCGGGAAGGGATGGCGCTGCCGCTGCCAGCCTCCCTTCCCGCCTCCGATTCCTTGGAAAGGGGTAGATGCCACTCTGATCAACGCTAGGGAACAGGAGCGAGGCCAAAGGGAAACGAGGAGTTCAGAGGTTTGGGAATTGGCCCTGTAGGATGCTTCCGCCCGTGGTGAGCAGGACAGACACAGGACCGCTGTGGCAATGGGAAGCTGCCTTATGCAGAGTCAGACCACCGGCCCATCTAGCTCATCATCAGGTTACAGCAACAGCCAAGGAGACATTTTTCCACCTTCGCTGCATCAAGCAGTTGGTCCCTTACCTTTCCTGCCCCGACCTGGCCACAGTGATCCATGCGACGGTCAACTCCAGGCTTGACTATTGTAATTCGCTCTATGCAGGACTGCCCTTGAAGCTGTCCCAGAAACTCCAGCGGGTGCAGAATGCTGCAGCGAGGCTCCTCATGGGGTCTCTGCCATGGGAGCATATTCACCCAGTGCTTTTCCAGCTGCACTGCCTCCCGGTGGAGTACAGGGTCAGATTTAAGGTGCTGGTTTTGACCTTTAAAGCCATTCATGGCGTACGACCCCCGTACCTACGGGACCGCCTCTCCTGGTATGCCCCACGGAGGACCTTAAGGTCCATAAATAGCAACACCCTAGAGGTCCCAGGCCCTAAGGAAGTTAGATTAGCCTCAACCAGAGCCAGGGCCTTTTCAACACTGGCTCCAGCCTGGTGGAACGCTCTGTCTCATGAGACCAGGGCCCTGCGGGATCTGATTTCTTTCCGCAAGGCCTATAAGACAGAGCTGTTCCGCCTGGCCTTTGGCTTGGAATCAACTTGATCCCCTCCCCCTCTTTCTTTTTTCCTCCTGTGATGAGGCTGCATTTTAATGTTTTAATGTATTTTAATCTTGTTTTTTTTAAAATAATATTTATTGAATTTTAAAGGGTTACAAAAAGAAAGAATTAAAAAACAGCATATTTAAGAAATACAAAACATCACATCACGATAATATCAAAAAAGAAACAAGAAAAAAAGAGAAAAAAAGAAAAAAGAAAAAATACAATAAATCTTCCCATAATTTATCTTTCATTTGCTTATTTCCTTGACCTCCTCACACCTCCCTTTTTTTGTATTCTAGTTCAATTAGCTATTTCAGCAAATCCTTTCCATCTTTTCCAGTTTTTGTCCTCTATTCTATCTTAATATAATGTAACTTTACTTTCCCTCCTTCACCATTTAGCAATCTATTTTTCCTTAATCCTTTATAGCATTTCTGCTAAAACCACATTATTTCATTCCAACATCCTTCTAACATTCCTTAATTTTACAATGTTTCTGTAAATAAACTTTAAGTTTCTTCCAATCTTCTTCCACCAACTCTTCTCCCTGGTCTCGGATTCTGCCAGTCATTTCCGCCAGTTCCATGTAGTCCATCACCTTCATCTGCCATTCTTCCAGGGTGGGTAGATCTTGTGTCTTCCAATACTTCGCGATGAGTATTCTTGCTGCTGTTGTGGCATACATAAAAAAAGTTCTATCCTTTTTTGACACCAATTGGCCAACCATGCCCAGGAGAAAGGCCTCTGGTTTCTTCTGAAAGGTATATTTAAATACCTTTTTCATTTCATTGTAAATCATCTCCCAGAATGTCTTAATCCTTGGGCATGTCCACTAAAGGTGAAAAAATGTGCCTTCAGTCTCTTTACATTTCCAACATTTATTATCGGGCAAATGATATATTTTTGCAAGCTTGACTGGTGTCATTTACCACCTGTAGATCATTTTCATTATATTCTCTCTTAGGGCATTACATGCTGTAAATTTCATACCTGTGGTCCATAACTGTTCCCAGTTAATGGGAACAGTTAATCTTGTTTTTTTAATTGCATTTCCATCAACTTGTTTTTTATTGGTTGTTAACCACCCTGAGCCCGGTCTTGGCTGGGGAGGACGGGGTATAAATAAAATTTATTATTATCATCGTCATCATCATCATTATTATTATCATAGAATCAACAGAATTGTAAAGTTGGAGGAGACCCTGAGGGTCATCTAGTTCCAGGGCCGTCTTACCCATGGGCGCTAGGGGTGTGGGGCACCCGGGCACAGACTCTCAGGGGCACCAGGCTGTGAGTTGAGTCCGAGGAAGAGCCTGCTCGTCGGTCGGAGTGCCACAGCGGGCTCTTCTGCTGCGGGCGGCTCTGCGCCGCGAGTTCGGGGGCGACCGAGCCAGCTGAGGCGGCAGGCTGGCTCCACCCTCCTGCATGCCTGGGACTGGGCAACCTCGGGGGGGGGCACTGGGCAGATCTTTGCACCCTGGTGCCACATATGTTTAAGGCAGCCCTGCTAAAGCATCCACGACAGATGGCCATCAAGCCTCTGCTTCTACTCTACACTGACTGGTAGTGGCAGGGTTCCAAGTCAGAGCCTTCCTTGGTCCTACCTAGAAATGCCAAGGATTGAACCTGGACCTTCTGCATGCAACCCACGTGGTTTCCTTTGCCTCTGAACCATGGCCCTTCCCTGCCATTGTAATGTGTGTTTGCCTTGTGAAGATGTTCAAGACTGAAAGGAGCTCACCCAAGACCTTGTCATCTAGCTCAGTCGGTAGAACATGAGACGCTTAATCTCAGGGTTGTGAGTTCGAGACCCAAGTTGGGCAAAGGATTCCTGCATTGCAGGGGGTGGACTAGATGACCCTTGTGGTACCTTCAACGCTACAGTTCTATGATTCTATCCAGTCAAGAATAATAAGCACATTCCCCCTTTTTTCATCATGAAATTTATACACCGCTTTGGATTGAAGATAGGCACAAACTCGCTACAAATGAACAAGTTGTGTACAAACATAGACTTGCCCATGGAATTCGTTTTTATAAATGCCATATTTGACTAAGGTTTGGTTAACGACAATAACAACCCCCCTTTTTTTGCACACAATATCTTTTTTCTTTTTTGTTTTCTACAGGGGTACCATTTCTTGTTTTTTCTTGTTTTAGTGTCTTCTCTTCCTCTGTGTACTTGTAATTTTGTATTCTTTTTCCAATAAGGAATAAAAAAATAAAGTTTATACACCGCTGGATTTGTGCAATACAAACAAACTTCAAAGGGGTTTGCAAAAAGTTAAGGCACCAAGAAAAATTCAACACCCGGCTTTCTAAAACAAACAAAAGTTAAAATTCCAAAATGGATTAAAACTGGTATCTGGGTAGACTTGTCCAAACAAGGATGTTTTTAGCAGGTACTGAATACAAAAAGTGAAGGTGCCTGCTTGATCTCAATAGGTAGGGAGTTCCAAAGTGTAAACGCTCCCACAGGAAACAACTGAGTCCTTACAGATGTGGAACGGGTATTACAAATGTGCATCCTCTCCATCAGTCCTTTTTAAGTGGACCAGTTGTGAACTGGGGTTCAGGGGTGGAGAGGAAGAGGGAGGACTTTCCTTGCAATAATTTGGGGTATTTTAGCATGCACGTACCCACCTCCCCTCCCCCCTCTCCCCAACTGGATTCCTCCTCTGTTTTTCTCTCTGTGCGTCTCAGCCGGAATTCTCGTTAACCTGACCATATTGTAGAACATGACATTTGCACGACTCAATTACATGGTGAAATTCCACCAGCCTCAATTTTACACTCATTAAGCCAGAGGGAGAGTTGCCAGCCTCGATGCAGATTGAATCAAACTCTGCCTTTGAGCATGGGTGCCCTTGGGTGGGCACAGAAAAACAGAGACATCACCTTGCCAACAAAGGTCCGTATAGTGAAAGCTATGGTTTTCCCAGTAGTGATGTATGGAAGTGAGAGCTAGACCATAAAGAAGGCTGATCGCCAAAGAATTGATGCTTTTGAATTATGGGGCTGGAGGAGACTCTTGAGAGTCCCATGGACTGCAAGAAGATCAAACCTCTCCATTCTGAAGGAAATCAGCCCTGAGTGCTCACTGGAAGGACAGATCCTGAAGCTGAGGCTCCAAGACTTTAGCCACCTCATGAGAAGAGAAGACTCCCTGGAAAAGACCCTGATGTTGGGAAAGATGGTGGGCACAAGAAGGGGACGACAGAGGATGAGATGGTTGGACAGTGTTCTCGAAGCTACAAACATGAGTTTTACCAAACTGCGGGAGGTAGTGGAAGACAGGAGTGTCTCGCGTGCTCTGGTCCAGGGGGTCACGAAGAGTCGGACACGACTAAACGACTAAACAACAAAACAGCCCTTGGATGTTTCCATGCTCACGCTTTCTCATGTGAGGGGTACATTTTTTGCAGTCAATGGTGGCAAAAGTTTGCCAACACCGTGTGCAAGAGGTGGGGATGTGTAGGCAGCCAACTCCTGGCCTGAGCTCTGCCATAGAATGAGCAGCAGGCTTTGTACATCTTGGGTCCACCTTTCAAAAAAAAAAGATGCACTGGTGCTGGTCCTGATACTACAAAAGGTCCTCTGCCCCCAGATGTCTCCAGCTCTTGTTAGCATTTGATGGTGGAGAAGCTACAGTGGAGCACAGCAGGCCTGGGGGGTTATTTGCAGCTTGGAGGCCAAATTCCCTCCAAGGCAGGCTTCTGAGGGGCCGCATTTCGCTGGTGGGCAGGGCCAGGTGCCAAACACGAAGAGTCGGACATGACTAAACGACTAAACAAAAACAACAAATACAACCCAGGTGGTTAAGAAAGCCCAACAGAGACTCCATCTCCTCAAGAGTATTGCGAAAGAGCGATGTCAATCAACATTTGATGATCTCCTTCTACCGGTCCACAATAGAAAGTGTCCTTTCATACTGCATCACGGTGTGGTACGCTGGTTTGACATCAACTGATAGGAAGAGCCTACAGAGGGTGGTGAATACAGCACAAGATATTATGGGCTGTCCCGTGAATCCTCTGGATGAAATAGTGGAAGAACGTTGCCTCAGGAGAGTGAGGAAAATTCTCAGGGATGATTCACACCCTGGCCTGCACTTTCTTGATCTCCTGCCCTCGGGCAGAAGATATAGAAGCATGATTAGTCGCACCAACAGGGTAAAGAACAGCTTCTATCCATGGGCTGTTAGGCTGCTGAATGAAAAGATAACAACAGGGCAACTGACTTTTGGGTTTGGTGGGTGTGCGTCAGTAAACGAGGGGAATTAAGACTAAGAGAGCTGAGTGGGGGGTGCTCATGTAATCTCACTGTATTCAAGTTGTACAAGTGACAATAAAGTATTTCAATTCAATTTCTGCACATGCACCCATATTCATCCTCCATCCAGGGGCCTGGAAAAAAGAGAGTGGCATGGAGAGAGGTCTGGGGGGGGTGGCAGCTGGTTAGGCTTTGTTTAATTTTTAAATTGTGGGTGTGTTGCTGCTCTGGGCTTCTTCCAGCTGGAATGTGTGCTTGAACAGAGGCAATGCCTCTTGCTTGTCCTAGTGGGGAGATGTATAAGGGGCTGTGTTGGTTAGATAAATGCCAAGGTTGTAGGTTTGATCCCTTATGAGGCAACTGCATATTCCTGCATTGTGGAGGGGGGGGTGGACTAGACGATCCTCAAAGTCCCTTCCATCTCCACAATTCGAAGATTTGATGATTCTGTGGGAATGTTCAGGGATGCAGGAGAGGATATATTGTTTGATTATAGTCTTTCCAACTTGTGTAAACAAGTTCACAATTTAGCAGAGTAACAGTCCCCCTTTTTAAACTTGCAGCGGATGCATTTGCTCAGGCTCGCTAAAGCCTCTATAATAACTGTTCTGGTATTTTCCCCTTATTCCCTCATAAAAGATAAGACACAACACAGTCTTCTGTAAAAGTATAAAAAGAGTTTACTCACATTCTGCTCACAATCGGATCCCAGAAGGCAGACTTAGCTTAGAAAAGTAACATACACCTGGAAACTATCTCATAAGGAGACAGTCCCATTTCCTCTTCCTCTTCCACTTCCTGGAGGCCAAGAGAGCATCTTTGGCTAAGCAGATGTTGCTTCTTCGATGCATGTAGTCAAAGAGAGAGAGATGGCTGCCCTGCCCTGTGCTTTTATCATTACCTGCACAGGTGAGGCCACACCCACCTCTAGTCACATGCAGAGAAAGTCTGTCCCCGCCCAGAAGGAAACAGGAAGTTTACCTGCTGGCTGGACAAACATTCCTCCCCATGTGTAAACATATTAACTCTAGGAATGTTGTACTTGACTGCTCTTGTGCTTCACATCCCACAGATTCAAAGATTCCCTACCTGTCAGGAGTGAACCGACAGTAAATCACACCTCACAAGTCTTAGTTAACTCTTGATTAGCAAGAACATGATCTTCACAGATTGGCAGAGTTTCATGCCTAATGACCTGTCAGGCTTTGGAGAATCAGATCCCTCCCATGGTGGCAGCCCAGAATCAGAGAAACGATCAAAGATATTACCAAGCAATTTACCCAATAATTCACGGATAACGCCAAAGGAATGCAGCCTTCCCTAACAATGGTGCTGCTCCAAGTAAAGTCCCACCCACCCCCACATCCTCCCCTATTCGGCGTCACTCCTGCATCGGTTAATCTAAGCTTTCTGCCTCTGAGCTCTCTGTTCTACTAACCTCAATGCCCGCCTGGTCCTGAGAGAAGGGGGGGGTCAAGAATGCTTTCTGAGGACACTGAGTTTGTCAGCTGTCTCTCCCCTAATGCTTCTTCTTCTTCCTGCTATTCCTCTTCCAATATTTCCCAGCTTCTGCCTTCTGCAGCCTCTGAACTATGCCCTTCTGCAAACCGCTATTCTGAATCTATACTGTCATCCTGTTCTCGGGAAGGTTCAAGAGAAGGGGGGGCGGTTCCCACCAATCCTCCTCAGTCCAGCCCCTGACATGATCACAGGAGCTCATCCCCAGAAGGACTTGCCCCATGGATCAGTTGCCAAGTCTGAAAGTTTTCCCCTCCCCACAGCTGCCTAAGGACCGTCCTCTCCTGGGTATTCCCCCAAGCAATTAGAGACTTCATCTGCACATCGCAGACACAATCTCTCCTCCAATTTTTTCATGCCTCTTCTGGTTCTGGGAGACAATGGGGAGGGGAGCTTGTAGCAGCTGGAGATGGAGAAACCTGTGCCTCTTCATCAGTCTGGCTCATCTCTGCCTCTTGGCTTCCATCCTCTCATTCCCCTACTTCAGCTTCTGCCTCTATCAACTGCTCTCTGTCACAGTCTCTCCCAGCTCACCAAGCCCTGTTGCCCCTTCAGCTTCCAACACCTCCTCCTAGTCTTCTTCCTCTTCTTTCTCTGACCATTCATTGAAGAAGAAGAAGAAGAGTTTGGATTTGATATCCGGCTTTATCACTACCCGAAGGAGTCTCAAAGCGACTAACATTCTCCTTTCCCTTCCTCCTCCACAACAAACACTCTGTGAGGTGAGTGGGGCTGAGAGACTTCAGAGAAGTGTGACTAGCCCAAGGTCACCCAGCAGCTGCATGTGGAGGAGTGGGGAATCGAACCCGGTTCATCAGATTACAAGTCTACCGTTCTTAACTACTACGCCACACTGGCTCTGTCCCACCACCACTCCCTGGGCTCTGAGCCTTCTTTCCCTGGGGGTTCCCCAGCTAATTCCCCCCATCATTCCTCTGTGTTTCCAACCACTCCGTTACACCACCCTTCTAAGAGATGAAATTGGAAGACTTGGGACAGATAAAAGAAAGTGAGCCTGTTCTCACGTAGCTCAC